CTACCAAAACCTTGCCGCGCAAACCCAATACGTGTCTATTGGTTATTACTTAGGCACAATGATTCTTGCATAAAATGAACACTAAATGTGTGTGGATGTTGAATTTCTAAATGAGGAAACTAGAGTAATTCTTGTATAGTAATACAATTGTAATTCTGCCAATTCACTTGTGTCTCTTCCATGGTTGAGTAGTAGATGGCTGAACATTTTGGAAGACCTGCCATGTATGCTTAGGTGTTTATGCACAGTAAATCGTCTTAGAGACAAGGCCTCAGTTGAACTCCATAACAATCAAGGCTTTGAGAATTTACATCAAGACTGCAATCTGACCACTATCTGGTGTTGTCTGGTATATTGGCTGCAAATGTTTCAAACTCCCCTCTGTATTCAAACAAGATTCCTTTCTCAGTCCCTATAATTTCACTCTTTTTTCCTTTCTGCTGTTTACTAGACCCTAGTTGGTGTTTCTAAGCAGCAGAAATGCTTATATTCCTTTTTCTTTTACTAATCTCATGGAAAGGGTCTCCACCTTGCCCTGTTACTTCTGAAACATTTACTGATTTTTGTCAGTGGGCTCTTGAACAGTCACTAGCTTATAAACTCCATGAAGCTCATCTGCTGCTATTCCCCCTTAAGAGATGTATCTTTAACTCTTGCATGTTGCCTACCTCTAAATGAAGTTAACAGTATTAACAAATACTATGTACAATTGAAAAGCATAAACTGGAAAGATCAGGTAACAGTTAATCCTCAATATAGATCAGAGATTACAGGTTGTTTTACTTTGTGGCCTAGAAAATATAGAGAACCAAACTGAAAGAGACCCTCCAGAAGTAAGCTAGTCACTCTTGCATAACATAAGCACAGCAATGTCCATGTCTTTCCAGGATGGGACAAGGATGGGATTTATTTAATATTTTAAGGTGATTGGTTCAGTGCCTCACTCTCCGTACCATCTGAGAGAATTCATGATGTATCAGCTTGATCTCCTTCCTCATTATTTTTTGTCCTGCCTCATCTGACATAAAAATTCATACTTTTCTTGTATCTTCTCCCTGTGTGTTTGAACACCGTTATCACATCTCTTTTCTGTTTTGTATTCTCTGTACTGAGCAATTTCAATTCTTTCAACTTTCTTATGCTGTCTTTTCTAGTCCTCTGGCCATTCTCATTGCTTCTATCAACTTTCTGTCCTATTGGCCAAAATCCTTGAATTGCTGTGCCCCACCTGACATAGCGAGCGCCAAATACCATAAAAAATTATTTCAGATGTGTGACAGACAAAAAGGTATTTTGCATGTATTGCAATGGCCTGATGCCACGGACTCAGAAATAGATCTGTGAAAAGAGGGTGTCGTGATGTTTCTTTTATTGTTATCTTCATGTCTAGAAGACCTGAACAGCACCTACTCCTTTAAGAAAAGAGTAATTAAATCTTGGACTTCTATATCTGGAATCTTAAAGACCCATATGCCTTTGGGGAAAAAAATCACACTCTTTGATTTTCAAATCTACAGATTCTAAAGGCTATAGTGCAATGCAGAACACCTTTCATATGCAGCAGCTAAGATCACTGTCCACCTCTGGGATCTCTCGTTTTCTCAAGATGCTGTTCTTCTTTGTGTCTGGCATCATCAGCTAATAAACAGTACTGATACATGTTTGGGCCCTCTTTTTTCGAACAGTAATTATATTACACAGCTCGTAAGATTTCTGGTGGCATTTCTGCAAGACACAGGTTTGGAACTTGTGGCAAACATGGTATAAATTGACATCATAAGTCCTGAGAATACATTAACTTCTGTAAATTGAACATAATCTCTGGAACTCCAGCTATGTCGAAGAGGTTAAATTGTGTGTTTAACTATAGGAGGAAATCAGTGAAGTGATGTGTGAAGTAAATATAAAGACTATGAGTAATTCCTTTATCTACTCTGTTTCAGTGTGTACTGGAGACAAAACAGGATCCCATTGCACCACTCCCTTTAATGTCATCCCTATTATTTGAGATTACTTCCTGTTCCTTGAATCTCTTACAGAAAAGCTGCCAGTTTTCAGGAGACATTTACCTAATGAAGAGTGGCCTTAGATATGAGGTCTATCTGTCATATTTCATTTTGTATAGTCGCCTCAGATTAGATCTGTGGCTTTTTAATATAGCGTATTCATTGTCTTCATGCAGAATGCATCTTAGTGAATAAACTATATTAAAGAGATATTATGCATCCTAGGTATAAGAAATTAAATCTACATCATAATTATGATAGAATAAATAGACTGAAGATGATTTGGTTCTCTTTTAGACATTAGTACTCTTTCTCTGGCACTAAGTAAATTTGACTGCAACAAGGAATGAGGTGAAGAAATTAAAAGTGTTTGTGGGTGGTTGAAAGGGGGTGAAATTAGGTAACTACTTCATTGTTTTCCTTGAATGTGAATGGAGGATTTCACTATTCCTTGCCTATGATACATTTAGGATTTTCTTCCTTAAAAGTACTATTTTTTGAAAGGCCACTTACTGATGCAATACTGATTTTCATGGAGCCTCCAATAATTCCTGAATTGTCTTCATTATAGCACGCACATTTTTAGAAGAAAGCAGAGTATAATTAACATTTGAGTAAACTGTTTTGTAGTCTTTTCTTTGACATAGTTTATATTTATTTTCTAGTATCACTCGTAGAAGCAAATCTGGTTTGGATTTCTCATTTTGGTTACTAACTTTTTTTCAGGTGCTTATTCAATATACTCATACAATTTTTCAGAGTGACAGATCTATTCAGGAAAACTATCTGTAGTTTTAAACACTGTGATCTAGTATTTCTGACCTGCAGGAAGTCCTTGGCAGGAATACTGCCTGCATGCCTGTACTACATTTCTTCAACAGGTGAGCTCCCATCTGCAGGTAGTTGCTCTCTCTGGTAGTGCCAAAAAAAAAAAAAAAAAAAAAGAATGCTGTGGCCCACAAGCTCATCTGGAAGTTAGAGGAGCAGTGGAGCTCACCTGTACTAAGCAGCTGTACCTAGAGCTGGCTTGACTAGCTATGGCTTGGAGACCAAAGAGACTACCTTAAGACAGAGATCCCAGTCAAAAACCTGTGGAAAATCTGTTTTTGTAATGTAAGTATAAAAGAAGGCATCTCAATAATACTTCACCTGGAGGGAAGTCAGAAACTAGTATCCTTGGAATAGTAAATTTATTTCAGCAACAGTGGATTTTGGGGGTATATATACCTAGGACCTATTTAATTAAGCTTTGGCTTTGCTATTTTGAAGGGTAGTTTATTTCCTAGCATGGTAGTTCTTTATCTTTAATCCAGCTGAAGTGGCATGTTAAAATACAGTGGTTTCTTTTCCTTGTAGATGGCTGTGGAATTTCTACATGAACTGGATGTTCCATTTTTCAAAGTAGGATCAGGAGATACAAACAATTTTCCGTATTTGGAAAAGACTGCAAAGAAAGGTAAGCATTTGCTTTTGAGCTGTCTTGGTAAACATCACTGTATCTCAGTAGATCAGTTATTAGATCTTTCCTCGAATTGATTTTTGAAAAAAATCTAAACTACCGTTAGAATAAAATCACCCTCAGACTTGGTGGTGTGGGGAGTTCACCCAACTTCCTTTTTGACTGAATTAATTTACTTCAAGAATTTAATTTAATCTTGTATAGCTTTCTTACAGACTTAGGACAAATGTGCATGTTTTCTAATGGCTAGGTCGCCCAATGGTGATTTCCAGCGGGATGCAGTCGATGGACACAATGCATCAGGTTTATCAGATTGTGAAGCCCATCAATCCAAACTTCTGCTTCCTGCAATGCACCAGTGCATACCCGCTTCAGCCAGAGGATGTCAATCTCCGTGTTATATCGGTCAGTGAATAACCCGGAGTGAGCCATGGGCAGGGTACTAGAGAAGGGCTATGCACTTTTATTGAGATATATTTCCAGGTCTCAGGCATGCTGGAATTTGCTTCTGAGAAGTTAGAAGATGTGTCATGTTCCTCTAATCCATGCAAGTGTTGAAGTAAAAATACCCATTGGATCCTCTTTTAGCAGAACTCTGCCTTGAGGAATATGATAAAAGATGTTAGGGGAATATTTGCAATTAAACAGAGGAAAATATGACATATGGTTAGCAGTTTAACCTTGTGCATTGTAGTGCAAAGAAAAATGATGTAGACTGTTACCATTAGGAAAGTGCAGGGAATTGAGAACATAGTTCTAAATAGGGGGCTAGACTAGAAACTTTTGTTAAAAAGGCTTAATGTGAATATCAGAGCAATGAAGAAAATGGGTTAGGCTCTTGTATAGTTTCCTTTGCTGAAGATATTGCTTGGATATGCCTGATAATGATGCAAGAAAACTTTCCCAAATTGACCAGTGTTCAAGCACTTGCCTAGCCTTATGCATGCATAGTATGTTATTTGTAGTAGAACGAGACATGGCTGCATTTAATTGCCTTTAGGATTAAGTGACTGTCCCCTATGTATCGCTGAAGGGATTGCTTCAGATTTTAAATATGGGGTTGAAGAAATCTGCTTTGGATACAGGTTAAGTTTAACCAGTCCACTGGGTTCTTGGATGAAAATAGAGCACTATTCTATTGCTGTAACTTACAGTGATGTAGGCTTTGAAGACCTTGAAGAGTACAACTGAATTAAAAAGAAAAGCATAAGAGAAGTTGTAGAATAGAACATACCTCCTTTTCCTGGTCAGTAATGATAATCCTAGTGAAATTCTTAAAACACAATGGTCGGTAATGCAGTGTGACTTGTTCAATATAAAAAAAAAATTAATTTGCAGCATAATCAACTGCTTGTTTTGTGGCAAAGTAATTGTCTATAGTTTTTATTATAGTTATCACTGTTAAATTTGCTTTTTCTTTGAACTTGCTACCTTGGTAATTCAGACCAACTCTGTTATGATTCAAGGCGTATCAGTCAGCTTTTCCTGATATCCCCATTGGCTATTCGGGACACGAAACGGGCATAGCCATTTCAGTGGCAGCTGTTGCTATGGGTGCTAAAGTACTGGAACGCCACGTGACTCTCGATAAAACATGGAAAGGAAGTGACCACCAAGCATCCCTGGAACCAGATGAACTGGCAGAGTTAGTGAAAGCCATCCGTACTGTGGAAAAAGCAATGGGTTCTCCAGTCAAACAACTCTTGCCCTGTGAAATGGCTTGCAATGAAAAGGTAACTTTTGCTTTTGATTCAAGTATAGCTGAAACTCATTTAGACCTATAGCTAATAACTATATTCAGAAAAACAGCCTGCTGATTGTTTATCGCAGCAGTGTTTCTGCCTCTGCACTCAAAAATCTCTGCTGCTAAGTAGCAGCATACATAGTGTTAATGATTTGTGCACTGTAATGTTAGTGTAGATCTGTCATTTTCCATAAATTGCTATTTCTGGCAGTCAGTAACTATTTTTACCAAAGCATAATGTTGGCAATTTTGAATATAATGGAGTTCTCAGTATATCATCCAGTGGTTAACCAATTGGGTAGAATCATGGAATCATTTAGGTTGGAAAAGATCATCGAGTCCAACTGTTAACGTAGCACTGCCAAGTCCAGCCACTAAATCATGTCCCTAAACGCCACATTTCCCTGTGTTTTAAATACCTCCAGGGGTGGTGACTCAGCCACTTCCCTGGGAGGCCTGTTCCAGTGCTTGACAACCCTTTTGGTGAAGAGATTTTTCCTAATATCCAATCTGAACCTCTCCTGGTGCAATGTGAGGCCATTTATTCTTGTCATATTGCTTGTTATGTGGGAGAAGACCAACACCCACCCGACTATAACCTCCTTTCAGGTAGTTGTAGAGAGTGAGAAGGTCTCCCCTCAGCCTCCTTTTCTCCAGACTAAACAATCCCAGTTCCTTCAGCTGCTCCTTGTAAGACTTGTGCTCTAGACCCTTCACCAGCTTCGTTGCCCTTCTCTGGACACGCTCCAGCACCTTAATGTCCTTCTTGTAGTGAGGGGCCCAAAACTGAACACGGTACTTGAGGTACAGCCTCACTAGTGCTCAGTAACAAAGCAGTTTATAATAGTAAGA